CCCTGCTCTGGGCCACTCTCCCTTTCCCCATGGAGTTGCACTCAGCCATTCCAGGGCTTAGCAGGGCTGATTCAAACAGTCTCCCGTAGGGGTGGTGTCTGAGACCTGGCGACCTATAGGAGGGGGTGTGGACACCTCTCCTTCCCAGATGATGCAGATGGAACTCACTGGGGAGCTCAGATCTGCCCCTTCCCAAAGCAGCCAGAGCCCAGAACTCACCCCTCTGGCTCCCAAACAGAAGCCTCCTTGGGAGAAACAGTCCCCAAAACCCAGTTTCACTTGGCTTCCTGGCCCCCCATGCCACCAAACCAAGCAGGAGGAGGGCAAGAGTCAGCCCTGCTTGGCACTCCGATCTCTCCACGTGGCTGGTCACTGCAGAATGGGGCCAAAATTCTCAGCTCTCCCTGGCTCTTAAGGTGAGCAGGGCAGGTGGAAAATCCCAGCCCTGCAGTGTTTCGCTGTGCCAGGAACCCAGCAGGATGGGGCAGACTGAGCGGTTCAGCAGGTGGGGGGGAGGGCGCTGCACTCTAGGTGGCCAGATGACCCCCTTTCCCAAGCCACAGTTTAGCCACTGACTGGCTCTCTGCCCAAAGCCTTTCAAGAGAATAGAGTCTTCCATAGACATCCATGCTGGGTATAGTGAGCAGAGTCTGCCCCCCTCCCCACCCCCAAAAAACCTGAGCATGATGCCTGACCTGCCCAGCAGTCACAGTGTTACAGAACAGACCCGGCGCGGTGCAGGTGGACAATATATACTATTACCAAATGGACCCACACTTGTGCTCCGGGGGTCCCCCACCCCATACTAGGTTTGCCTTGCCTGCTGTCAGGGAAAGACATCTCTCAATGCCAGAGATTGGTGAAAAGGAAAGGGATTATTTATTTAAAGAGTTATACAAACTTAAGAGTAATCACTAATGTCTTCACTGAGATCCCAAAGTCCTTTAGAATAACCCCAAACACACAACCCTTCCTTCCTCACCTGCCCCGTCCAAGGTACCGTATCTCAGAAAAATAGAAGTCCGTGGTTCCTCTCTGCCCAAGCCTCGTGGTCCCAAAAAGACGCAAGGCTGCCGCACCATTTACGACTCCTCCCACAATTGGCCACAGCTGCCAGCATTCCTGTATATTTCCAGCTTTACTGGGCTGCCATAGTAAGTCCAGGCAGGCATGGCCCCCATGGTTTATAGCCAATCACATCCAAGCTTCCATACAGGCTCTGAAACCAGGGGGAGTTGCTTCCCAGTTACATCATGGGTTGAAGTGACTCCCATCCCCCTCTCTCAAAGCAAGGCCACAGCTATTTAACATATCTATGCAACCAGTTAAAGGTTACTGATATGGTAAATGACCATTCTAGAGGTTATTTGCAAAACTGTTGCTATTCAAAACAACTCTCAATGGCCCTGCTCCACGAGTCCCATCCCCCAGCTCAGACTTATGGGGGTGAGGACATCCTATATATTTTTTTCTAATATTTCCTGGACACCCTGAGTTCTGGACCCCATTACAGATCCCTATTTGGGGCTCCCCCTTGGCTGCACCCAGTTACAATAGGCCCTGAGCAAACATCCCAGGCTGGCGGTGTAACAACTTACGGGAGCGCTCTTTCCCTGGGATTGTGGCACTCTGTCTTCCAGGTGGACAGAATCCCCCCTGATTCCCGCCACCCAGTGCTACGAGGACTCCCCTTCTTCCTGTCTCTGTTGCTCTGGGTTGGGGATCCCTGTGTGGGGCTGAGACTCCACACTCCTAGGGGTAGAGAGTTTTGCAGCCATGATATCCTTCTAGCTTCTCAGCCACCACGCCTATGTGAAGGGGCTCACCCTTGCCACATCTCTGCTCATCCTACAAGTCTCCTCCTGGCTTCTTCTGAGCATCCTGGTTATAATATTTCAGATCAGGTACACTTCAGATGGTTTTTTACCAGTTGATTGTTCTGTAGTTTAGCTGCAAGTCCAGTCCAGGGCTGGGAGCAAGTGTACGGAGCTGGCAGCTACTCCGCAGCCCTCTTACACAGCACACCCCCCGTCCTGCCCCACACCGTTTATTCTTGCGTTACTGTTCTTTACTAATTATTATATTATTTAGTTGTATTATAATTGTAAACCTACTTTTGCCCACTCTGTATTATAAAACCCACGAGTCGTTCCTACCTTTTTTACAAGGTTGATCTTCATGTAGATTCACCTACATCGCGGCCCCTTCTGTCCCTTCATTTCTCCTGCCCCTCCACACTAACACCTTGGACCAGTTTTCCTTTGGCCTGGAGAACTTCCTTTACTATTAACGTCTTGTGGATCCTCTGATAACAAATTCTTTCTATTTTTTGTTCGCCTGAAACATCTTTTTTTCACCTTCATTTTCTCCAGCAGTTACAGAATTCTAGGCTGACTTATTTTTTTCATCCCTTTGAAACTGTCACGTCCTTGTTTCCTTGTTTTCTGTTGAGAGTTCAGCTGTTGGTCTTATTGTTGCTCTTTTGAAGGTAATGCTCCTTTTATACTCTGGCTGCTTTTAAGATTTTCTCTGCCTTAGATTTTCCACAACTCAGATGTGGTTTCTATGTAAACTATACTGCTTGGATTGATAATCTGTCATCAGTTTTGTACCCTTTTTGGCCATTATCTCTCCAAACAAGTTTTTTCCTACATTCTTTCTCTCCTCCCTTGGGGAATTCCAAGTATGTGGATGTTAGAGCTTTCTAACAATAGCGCACAGCTCCGTGCTCTAACTTGTGGAAGGAATGGACTCCTTTCTGAAAGCCTGGGGATAATCAACAGATCCCTCCCTCCCGTGTTAACCTCCTATTTTAGCTTCCCAGTCCTGGGGGCCTGCTGAGAGCTTTGAGTAATTAGCTTCCCAGACCGTGGGCCAAAGCCTTGGGACGGACAAACGCTGGAAGGCAGGTATGCTTCCTGTCTCTCTAGATTCCTGGCCCTTGAGTCCTTGCTGCCTCAGGAGCTCTCTGGTGTTTTCAAACATATGCTTTTAGAATTTATCTGCCTTTCCCAGTTGTTCTTGGCAGGAAGGTCTATCTCATACAAGCGAGTCTGCGAAACCAGAGCCATGTGACGCTTGGTGTAAATGACAAAGAGATGGCTGCTGCCCCCTGGGCTGCGTCTGGTACAGCCCAAACCCACAATAGTGCGCGGCACAAGCACATTGCTGTTTTCCAGGAATCAGAGGAGGCACTCATTCTGAATAGTAGGCTCTGGGAAGGTGTCTTTGGCGAATGGGAGGGATCATGACATCGGCTACTTGGAGGGAGGGTGGAGGGTGGAAGGAGGCACAGTTGGTCTGGGTGGAAAAAGTTAAACCAAATACAGGCAGATATGATGGGACCGGGGATGTGGGAGGGGCTGGAGTGGGGGCAAAGAGAGAAATGTCACTGGAACTGAAGCTGGGAAATGCAGATACTTGCCAAATGGAAAGGCGGCCCTGTCCCCGGTGGAATCTGGATGTTTTTATATGTGATGGTGAACTGCCGATGTTTTGGTAGTTTGGCAGTGCCCTTCTCTGGCTTTGCCTGCACTCAGTGCAACTCAGGTGAAGAACCTTAGCCATCTCTGGTTCCTAATTTTCTCTTTTGCAAAATAGGAATTGTAATCGTACCTCCCCCCACCACACCTCAGGTGGAGAAGTGCAGATGAGCTTGTGGACACAAATGTGCTCTGACGGGAAGCAAGTGTGGCCAGGGGCCATCGCAGGAGTCCTACGACTTCCAGGCCTCGTTTGTGCATCGCAGGATGGCCAGACGTTTAGTGAACCTGGAGAGCCTTCCAAAGTCCTCAGGCCTGAATGTCCCCTGAGCCCTGTCCTCTCTGCCCCAGCACCCACCCTGGGGACTGGGCACCAGGCACTGCCTGGCCCTCTCCCAGTTAGGTCATCCCTCCTGGGAAGCTCTGGGCACTTATCCAGTCCTTCCTTGATGGTGCTGGGCCATGCACTGAGGTATGCGATTAGCCTAACCCCCTGGACCTGGTTACGATGACATGTATTATGTCACCCTTTTGTTTCCCCCTACCTGTCCTGCTTTTGTCTTGGTGGGCCCCACAGCCCTAGCCTATTTCCTTTTCCATGAGACACACCTGCAGTCTCTTTAAGAGAGTTTTTCCTCTGTTTGAATTATGAAAGGGCCAAAGAGCTAAATACTTACCTCTTTTGATATGACCTGACTCGGGAACTCAGAAGCAGGCTCTATCTGGGGATGGTCCATGAACCTCTGATAGTCACTCTGGAGGAGCCAGAGAAGAAATCCTGACCCTAAGAAGTTTGTGACCCACTTGGGGACATGGAAGTGTCTGGGAAGGGTGAGAAGAATGTCTAGGTAATAAGGCCACCTGGAGGCAGAGAACCCTGGAGACTGCTTCAGTAGGGATGTTGCCCGAGGAGGTGGGGTTTGAGCTGGGCCTGGAGAATGAGAACGTGTAAGAGGCGGGGAAAAAGAGGCAGTGTGCTGGGTGCCCTCGGCCTGTCCTTTCGACCTGCTGTCCCCACCACCCACTGGGCCCCCAGTAGGCTTGGGTTTGCCCAGTAGGAAACACCAGCAAGGGATGGGGGACCGGAGGAGAGTGAGGTCAGATGTTTGTTGCTCCTCCTCTGTTGCTGTGGGGTGGCTCTGAAAGCCTTCCCTAAGGCCACAGCTCCAACCAGGCAGCCCTCTGAGCTTAGCCACTGCCTCCCCAGCCCTTTCAGCCTGGGGGTGGTAACAGCTCTTCACTATGGCCAGATAGTCTTTTAAAACACTCTCCTCAAATTAAGTCTCAGTGTGCTTTGTTTCCGGTGAGGAACCCTAGTGGGGGCAGGCGTTTTAGAGCTCAGGGAAGATAGGTGGGCAAAGAGGTGGGGTGCACAGGCCTTTCTGGCTGATACAAAAGGTGGGAGACGAGAGGAGGTTGGAGTCTAGAATGTGAAGAGCTTTAATTACAGAGCAAACGAGTAGGGAGTCCACAGATGCTGTGTAGATTTCTGTAACCTGCATCTCTCTTCTGTTCCAGGAGACTCCTGCCTGTGGCCCCAAAGCACCCACTGCCCCCTCCATGAAGCCCTCCAGCCTGAGGATGGGTATGGTGAGGTGGGAGAGCACCTGCCTTTGGAGCTCTTTCACTGTGTTCTTCTTCTTCTTCATCCACACCGTGGCGGCGCAGTACCAGGAGTACCTTGCGGGGAGCTGGCCCTACTACCCGGAGTACTTCCAGCAGCCTGCTCCTGAGTACCACCAGCCTCAGGTGCCTGCTGATGTCGCCAAGATCCAGCTGCGCCTGGCTGGGCAGAAGAGAAAGCACAGTGAGGGGCGGGTGGAGGTTTACTACCAAGGCGAGTGGGGCACTGTGTGTGATGATGACTTCTCCATCCACGCTGCCCATGTCGTCTGCCGGGAGCTGGGATACGTGGAAGCCAAGTCCTGGACCGCCAGCTCCTCGTATGGCAAGGGGGAAGGTAAATGCGCTGTGCTTTGCAACTAGTGCTGGGGTCCCCTGGAAACCCCAGAATGGGTTTGCATACGGTGAACCTGATGAAGGAATCTGCAATTACCATCAAGTACGAATTACTGATGATGTCCACCTGGGCAGCCTGATGTTTTTGTGCAAGAGGGCAGGGGGCGGAGGGGTGCCTGGGAAGGACGCAGTGACCAACTGTCCTGCTTTGCCCAGGCTTTCCTGGATTTAGCCCACGAAGTCTGGTATCCGGGGCCCACCAGTCTGGCTGAGGACTTTCGATAGGGGCTGTAGTCAGTCTGTGCTCATCTCCCCCAGCACTCCGCCTGCCTGCTGGCAGGGTCAGTCGGGAGAGCCCCTACCTTTCTCCCCATCGTCTTCCAAGGGGCTCCTCTTGCTCTTTCTCATGAAGGCAGCCCACGGGCCAGCCCTCTGGCTCCCCCCGCCTTCCTGCCCTGTCCTTCAGCACTCACGGGCTGTTTGAGCCCCGCCGGCCGTTACAGCGACAGAGTTGCTTTGGGCTTTTCTTTGGTTGGCCTATTCTTTCCTCCCCGGTTAAGATATGAGAGCAGGTGTTAAGAGCCCAAAACCTTGGGCTCAGTCCTGTTGCTGCCCTAACTAACCTGTCCTTTAGAGAAAGTGCCTATCCCCTTTGGCCTCAGTTTCCAGTTGGAAGTTGGGCTTTCAAGAATTTTTGAAAGAAGGAAGGAAGGAAGGAAGCAAGGAAGGAAGGAAGGAAGGAAGGAAGCAAGGAAGGAAGGAAATAAGGAAGGAAGGAAACAAGGATACAAGGAAGGAAACAAGGATACAAGGAAGGAAGGAAGGAAGGAAAGGAAGGAAGGAAGGAAACAAGGAAGGATGGAAGGAAATAAGGAAGGACGGAAGGAAACAAGGAAGGACAGAAACAAGGAAGGAAGGAAGGAAGGAAACAAGGAAGGAAGGAAGGAAACAAGGAAATAAGGAAGGAAGGAAACAAGGAAGGAGGGAAGGAAACAAGGATACAGGGAAGGAAGGAAGGAAACAAGGAAAGGAAGGAAGGAAGGTAGGAAGGAAGGAAGGAAGGAAGGAAGGAAACAAGGAAGGAAAGGAAGGAAGGAAGGAAGGAAGGAAGGAAGGAAGGAAGGTCCCCTGACTGGTGGTTGGGAATCGACCCACAGAGCGAAAAGGTCACCGATTGAATTCCCAGTCAGGGCACCAGCCTGGGTTGCGGGTTTGGACCCTGGTTGGGGCGTGTACGAGAGGCAACCGATCGATGTCTCTCTCACACATGGCTGTTTCTCTGCCTCCTTTCCCTTCTCTCTAAAAATAAATACATAGAACATCTTTTAAAAAACAAAGAACTTTTAAAACTTTCATAATTTATGATCCTAAGTGGGAAAATAGATAAGGGTGAAGAGCATTATTTAAAAAAAAAAAAACAACCAAGCAAACAAAAAAGAAAAACACAACGGAAGCTGAGAGTTGCCCTCCCTGAGTTGGGGCGGCAAGTTGGCTGACTGGACAGAAGAGGGGCCCAGAGTCTCGTTCTGGACTGATGGAGTGATGCCACACTGACGGAACAGGAGCCCCCGGGGGCCTGACTCGGGGCATTCTGGATTGGGGTTGGGCCAGGCCTGGGATTCATTAAACTAGACCATTGTTATGGTCCCTTCCAATCCTGGCTTTCTGTTACTCTAGAAGTTGTAGGAGAATGGAAATCTCATATCATACATGTCTCTCACTCTGTGCTATTGAATACATCGTGTCAGCGTAACCGAATTTAAGGTGAAATGCTTTTTGATGCTGAATCTGGGTTCCTTAGCAAAAACTTGAGTTAGCAGATGCTGGGCTTTTCATTCCATAGCCTGTCTCCTTTACAAAGAACTCCAGATGCTTCTCCGTGTTCACACGTCTCTATTTATTCTGCAAGTTGAGTGACTGGGGGATAACGTTAAATTTATGTTTTCTGTTCTGGGCTGTCCAAACCTAAATATTTTATAACAAGTAATTTTTAATGACTGTGGGTTTTTTCAGTGACAAGTTTATTTTATTTCTACCCAAACATAAAGTTTACCTGTCATTAGACAAGATGAGTGTGGTTCCCCCCCTCCCCCACGCTCACCTGCTGAGGAGTGGGCATGGAGTTGCTGGAGAGGCAGTGATCTGATTCAGACTGTGCCATTCAGGGATGACAAAGGGAGAAAAGTTCATGGGAGCAGAGGGATTAAAATCATGGTCCAATTGATGTTTCTTTCTCACATTGATGTTTCTCTCTGTCTCCTGCTCCCTCCCTTTCCCTCTCTCTAAAATCAAAAGTAAAAAAAAATAAAAAATAAAAGCCCTGGCCAGGGTAGCTCAGTTGGGCATCATCCTGCCAAGTGAAGGTCACCAGTTCAGTTCCTAGTCAGTACACATGCCTTGGTTGCAGGTTCGGTCCCCAATTGGGGACATATGGAAAGCAGCCAATCATGTTTCTCTCTCTCTCTTTCTCCCTTCCCCTCTCTCTAAAATCAAAACTAAAAAATGAAATAAAATCAGGGTCCATGGAAGGTACTGAATGGAGGAGCTGACGGACAGCAGCATGCTAGGACCAAAGGATTGTGGGTCTCTGCTGAGCTTGCAACATACAAGAAGCACGCTAGGAAGATGGGGTAGGGATGTGGGTGCAGGGCAGGAAGGTACAAATGGAGACAGGGAGGGGATGTGATCATTGGTAATGCTAAGGTCTAAGCTATGGCCGTGGGATGGTAGCTGATGTAGGGTGGGGGAACATCACTGGAGAGAGGAGGATGAGTGAGGACGAGTCCGAGAGGACTGGGAAGGCTATCTGTATGGTGCTGAAACCATCAGGACTTAGGAAAGAAGTGTGAAAGAACGCAAGGGAGAAACAGATGCTAACATACTTGTAACTGTCGTGTCTCCAGGACTCAGGTCATGTTGTCCCCTGAAGTGGTACTTGGCTTACATCACGAGAGCCCTTTTAAATACAAATGTATTTGAATTTCATCAGTTTAGGCTATTTAGCACTGGGGTCATAGTTAAGAACTCAGTAAATATTAGCTGATTGATGTATGTTGATGTGGGAGAGTGTGAAGAACAGTTGGCAGACGGTACTTGGCACAGTGACCAGAGAACGCGACCAAAGCCCTGGAGTGTGCTCCCACGGGCTCAGCCTGAGGAATTGGCTCTGGGTGAGCTGGGAATGCCGCAGCTGCGCCGGGCCAGTCCGAGGCCACCCCTCCGGGAGTGCTCACTGTCGCCTTCTCCTCTCAGGTGCAGGCTGTAAGCAGCGAAGGCAGGGAGAGTGCCCACATCAGCCTGGCCTGTCAGTGGGTCTTCCCTCCCAAGGTGTCTCTGAGCTCAGAAACATCATGAGCCCCAGTAGAGGGTTCTAGAGGCAACAGCTGTCCCACTTTTCTCACTCTCTGGGTGGGTCTCAAGCCACCTGAGCCTAAGATAGTGGCTTTCCTCTGTCTGTCTTTGGATCTGAGATCAGATCTGATTGCTAATGCACTCCCCCACCCCAAATTCTTCAGATCAGAGTGACAAAGCCAGCAGATGACCAAGTGAGGCCCTGAAGGTTCTAACTTATCTTTTTCTCCCTCCCTTTCCCTCTCTAAAATCAGAAGTAAAAATAACAATAATAAAATCCCTGGCCAGTATGGCTCAGTTGGGTGTCATCCTGCCAAGATAAAGGTTGCCAGTTCGATTCCCGGTAGGGGCACATGCCTGGGTTGTGCGTACAGTCCCCATTTGGGGCACATATGTAAGGAAGCCAATCGATCTTTCTCTTTCTCTCCTTCTCCTTCCCTTTCCCTTTCTCTAAAATAAAAAATAAAATAAAAAGAATAAAATTGTGGTCCATGGAACGGATGGGAATGCCCAGCGGAATGCTCCGGCATTCAAGTGGAAATTAATTTATGGTCTTTCTCTTCCAAATGGTCTGTTACTTTACTTCTCCTATACATCACCTTTCCTCAGAAGCATTTCTTAGAGTGAATGAGTGGAGAGGATAAAAGGAAGTATTGCTTCTGATTGACTGGCTTTTTATGTCCAAGGTCGGAAGCCCCAGATGCATGCCAAGTGCCACTGCCCTAGCAGCTCTGAGATGGCATCTGTGCCCTGTGCCCAGAATCACCCTGCCCCCAGCGGGCAGGGCCAGCACTGGCTGCTTTGCGTCAGGGCAGCCTAGTGGACTGGCACTTAGCAGCCAGAAAGACACTGTTGTGAAATCAGGCCATGTGAGAATACCGTACATGGGGATGCAGTCTTGGACTAAATAAAAATTTACATTTCCAACATCTAAGAACAAAATAACCAGTGAGAATACGTGGAGGGTAGAATGATGTGGGGGAGCTGAAGCTCCTTGAGAAAGCAGTTCTTCAGGGTAAGTTAGTTCCCATTTGCAGTCCAGGGGCTAATTGCAAATGCTCCTTATGAGAAGTTAGGCAGACCCTGGGAAATGTGTTTCAGCTCTGCAGGCTGCCTTTGGCTGCACTGTCCGGCTCCCATCCCCCTAGAGCGGGTAGTTCTCTCATTGCAGATGGAAAAGAGCACTTCTTCACACCACCTCTGTTGCTGCGGCTACAGGATGTTCCAAGGAAGAGGCCGTTGTCACACATGGAGGGTCTTTTCCGTTGCTGGTACTTAGCAAGACAAACACTGGTTTGTTGTTGAAACAGCAATCAGTTAGGGAGCATATGTTTCAGTGGAGCTTGATGGCTTGCAAACCGGGCCAAATTGAGAAACCAGTTGGAAAACCTCAGCCCAGATGTTTTCAATAAGCTCTTTGTTAGCCTGGATGCATCCAAAGCGCTCCCTCGTTGGGGCCCTGAACGGCCGTGGGTCACAGTGAACACAGCAGGGGCTTGATGTCCATGTCTGGAGACTGGCCCTGGGTCCTCCCTCACCTTTCAGAGCTTCGGGTGTCCTTGGTTTTCTTATCTGCTGTGGGGGTGGTTTTCATCCCCTTCTTCCTTGCATTGTGGAAATAATGGTATTTCCATTGTTTTTCTGACTTACTGGGAAGAAGAAAGGAAAAGGGAGTTTGAACATGTGCTAGGAACACAGATTATCTCACTGAATATCCATAGCAACCTGTTTGCTGGGTATCATTGTTTTCACTTTAGAAATGGGGAGCAGGCCTGTTTAAATGGTTGACAGAGTCACTTAGGCCCCAAGCCTGCGAGAGAACTTGACCCAGATTATCTGCCCCCGTTATATTGCAGAGTTCTGCATGGAGCCATGAAAAAGTGACAGGTTTGATTTTGTTTCCTTTCATTTGGTAGTGGCACTTAGAAAAATCACTTTTTGAAAAACACTGTAGCACTTTAAGTTTTTTTACTTTGAATTATAGTAAAATACACATAACATAAAGATGTGCTGCCTTTATCATTTTCCACTGTACAGTTTGATAGTGTTAAGTGCATTCACGCTGTGGTACAACCACCATCCGACACACTTTTTATTCTGCAAAACTGAAACTCTGTCCCCGTTAAGCGACCACTCCCCATCCCCTCTCCCATCCCTGGCCCCCGACTCTACTTCCTGTCGCTATGAGTCTGTCCACTCTAGGAACCTCGTGTAAGTGGAATCAGGCAGTATTTGTCTTTTTTGTGATTGGCTCATTTCATTTAGCGTAATGAACTCAAGATTCACGCGTGCTGTGCATGCGTGCATCAGAACCCCCTCCCTTTTTCAGGCTGAATGATATCACACTGTATGGATGTACCACGTTCTGTCAACAGACACTTGGGTTGCTCCCACTTCTTGGCTGTTGTGAATGACGCTGTAGGCACATGGGTGTTAATATCTCTTTGAGGCCCTGCTTTCCATTCTTTTGGGTAGATATTCAGAAGTGGGAATTGCTATATCATATGGCAATTCTATTTTTAATTTCTTGAGCAACTACCATGCTGTTTTCCACAGAGGCTACACCATTTTACATTCCCAGCAACAGTGCATAGGAGTTTCAATTTCTCCAGATCCTCGCCCACACTTGTTATTCCTGGCTTTTTGAAAGTTGCCATCCTGATGGACATGAGGAGATGTCTCAATGTGATTAACCCTCTAGCATTTTGCACAGTGAATCCTCTGCTTAGTGCAAATCAGATAAAGGCCCAGGAGGGGAGCCCACTCACACAGGGCCTCCCAGGCAGACACACTGCTACAACCCAGCCCTGCCTGCACCTGCCTTTGGAAACGTAAGGAGGCGGCTCTGTGGGTTAGTCTCTGAGTCGGCAGATGGAAACATCCAGAAGTGAGAAGAACACTGAATGGCCCAGGGTGCCAGGCTCTGGGGGTGGCCTTACAGAGTGAGTCGCCCTGTCTGAGCCAGAGCTCCATGTCTGTGAAGTGTGAATAGCAATGTCACCTTATCCTCTTCCGCAAGTGGTGGGGAGGTCAGGGGAGAGAACACATGTGGAAATACCTTTATTAAAAGCCTCAGCTACAGGATAGCTTAGACTTTCTCTGGAGGGTCCAGTTCAGCCTCTGCTACAGGCAGAAGGGGAGTCTGGCTTGTGCCATAGTCAGTGCAGCTAAAACCATCATCATCACTACCATTTTTTGGGTAACTATGGGCTGACAATATACTAGGCATGTGCCATACATCATCTCTAGTCTGCACACATTCCAGGATTCAAGTGTCATGATCGCCACTTTGCTGGTGAGATAAAAGGGCTTTGACCAAGGTTACATAGCTAAGTGGCTGAGCCAGAAGTCAAACCTAGCTTAGTATGCAGAGTCCCTGCCTTTCCCCCTGTGGCACCCAAGTGACACCGAAGCTCAACCTTGCTTTTTACCCTGATCACGTTCAATCAATCTACCATGTCCCTCTGGCAAGGGGATCCAGATAGATGGTCTAGAACTCTCTGCACTATCTTGATATACTAAAAATCAATTGATGACCACACATAGCTGCTGAGATTAGAGAAAATCTCTTTCCATGTACAACATTGGTATCCCCAAAGATCCAAACTTGCTTTGACAGAGTGCTTGGTTTCTCTCTCCTCTGCTCCCTTCAGGGCCCATCTGGCTGGACAATGTCCACTGTACTGGCAAGGAGTCGACCCTTGCAGCCTGCTCCTCCAATGGCTGGGGCGTCACTGACTGCAAGCACACAGAAGACGTCGGTGTGGTGTGCAGTGAGAAAAGGATTCCCGGGTTCAAATTTGACAATTCACTGGTCAACCATGTAGAGGCAAGTCATGTGTTCCTACTGACTTCTTCATATGGATGTCTTCTTTCCACCATGTAACTCACTTTTCGCTTTCTGATTCCAGGAAGTGTGTGTGTGAGCACTAAGGAGGGGGACCCAAGCCAATGTGATCTGGTGTGTGTGTGGGGGGGGTATTGAGGGAGGATTTCTTAAGCAGGGGATGGCATCAGTGGGGGGAGGGGCATCAATGGGGAACGGCTTGGGCAAGGTCCTGAGTCGTGGAGTTGTGGACTGGGGAATAGCAGGCCAGTACTGCTGAAGGAACTGTGCATCTGGGGGTCATGTGAAATGCAGCTAGAAAGGAGGCATGAAAGGCCTTCTGTGCTTTGCTCAGGAGCTTGCCCTTTGGACCAGTAAAACGTATTCATTATCAATTGCTGTGTAACAAGTTACCCACCCCCGACCCCTGGATTTTTCAGCTTCGCTCAACAAACTTTTATTATCTCACACAGTTTCTAGGGTCAGGAGTCCAGGGGTGGCCGAGCTGGTTGATTCTGCTCAGAGTCTCTCAGGAGGTTGCAGGCATCCTGTCTGCTGCAGCTGGAAGAGCCTCTCCTATGCTAGCTCCTGGAGGCCGTGGGCAGGTTTACTTGCTTTCTGGCTGTCAGCTGGAGCTCTCCGATCCTCTCCGCACAGTCTCTCCGCCGCTGCCTGAGTTTCCTTAAGACGTGTGGTTGTCTTTCTCCAGAGTATGTGACTCAAGAGAAAAAGAGAAGGAGCAAAACATGGAAGCCACAGTCTTTCCTAAGATGATCTCGGAAGGGCCATCCCATCAGTTCTGCTGTGTTCTATTGGTCCCACAAAATAACCAAGTACAGTGTGGAAGGAGACTGCCTGAGGCTGTGAGGGCAGGAGGTGGCAGGGCCATCGCGGAGGCTGACTACCCCAGGAGAGTTGTTCTCAAATCCAGCTGGGGATCAGAACCCTTTGAAAATGCAGATACTGGGTAATATTTATAATATTGAAATCTTATGACTCCAAGCTTCATTTCTAAATTTTTAACTTAGTGTTATATATCTTGAAAATTTTATCGTGTTATCAAAGACTGTCCAAACCATTATTTTTATTAGTTGCCAAATATTCTACCTTATGAACCTGCTGTAATGTAGTTAAACTTTCTTGCTTATTGGACAGGTATAGATCAGTAAATATAAAATTATAATACATATCATCGTTCATAATCTTTCACTGCATTTTTGATGGCATCAGTAGAATTTATGGTAAGAAGTGGAATTATGGAGTCATGGTTTCAAATGGTATGTATATTTTGAAGTTTCTCGATATGGATAAACGACCAGAGGAAACGTTTTCTAAGACGCTCATTCCCGTTGTGTAGAGAGGTGCGATTCAGTCTTAATGACGAGGCGGGAGCCGGGGTCCGAAGCAGAGCCTCCTGCTGTGGGGCCAGGCTGTCCTCTCAGCCTCTTTACGCGATCCCGACGCTGCCAGCCCAACCCCGGGCAGCATCTGGGAGCGGCAAAAGGCTTCAGACCCTGCTTCTGCCTTTATGGCTTTATTTCCGATTTATCTTTTCAACAAGTTCTCCACTTAAACAATGAAATTAGCGAATATTGATATTTATTGCACTGCTCATGTGCAGGGAACGTGGGGCTTAGGGCCAGTGGGTAGGCAGCCAAGACTTCCTCCTGAAGGAACATGCTGGATGTCACCCCCGAGGGGCAGTGGGAGCTGCCAAGAGTCCAGGCCAAGGAGCCTTCCCCATGCCTTAACCTCCAGCCGACCGTGAGGCTAGTGCTGAGGAAAGGTGACTTCATGTTGCCCTGTTAGGGCTCCGGAGGAAGCTCGACCCAGACTGGTCTTCATGTTTTCTTCCCATGACTCACATCATCTTGCTCTTTTTCATACGTTCCCAAAGCATTCTGGGAAAGGATCTCCAGCCTTTTCTCAGCTGGCAGGATGAAGCCGACACTCTTCAAATGCTGCTATTTTATTAGGAATAAGTGGAAGAGACTGTTGCAGAGTGGTTGTATTTTAGTTAGTGCTCCAGGCAATGATGACAACTTTGCTTTACCACGAAGTTTATGACTTGGGCTTTTCCAACCCGGTTTCACACTTTTCACTGCCACTCTTTGTAACCTCATGCAGAATAATCAGCACTCACATACATGTTTCCCATTTTTTCCAATGAGATTGGAAGCTCCTGAAGGGCAGGGGATCTATCTATTTCCCCATTTTATCCAATAGAAATAATACTTGGTACCTAATGGGAACAATATCTCCCCCTCCCAAATATTCTTCTTCTCAAGAATGCAGATCAAAGATCATTATCCCCTAAGGTGAAGAATCTCCCAGGGTAAAATATCAGACTAAACAGTGATGAGAGGTACATAGAAGCAAAACATTCCTTTATAGCATTGCCCTGTTTACTAGGACAATGAATGTATGTATATCATCTTTGACTGAATTCACTTTGACTGTCAAGTAAAGGTCCAGGCTTCCAGGCATAAGAAAGTCATTGACGGTTTGAAGCAAAAGAGGGTGGGCCAACATGCCGGTGGGTTTTGCCACTAAGAAAGAATTGATTCTGGAAAAGGACTCTGTGGGTATCACTTCAATGGAATGTTGGTGACTACCTCTATGGGCAGTTCTCATGCCAAGCATTTGAAGGGGAGATAAGATGGACGTTTTGAAAAGCAGAGCCTTAATTGTGTAGCATAGGCAGAGGAATGACTGAATGGATGTGTCGAAGAGTACTTATTCTGGACGGGCTGAGAGTCCATGACAGGAAACCTTGGTGCCTGTCTTTGTCTTAGACACTTGCTGGGCATTCACTGCTCGTCCATCACAGTCCAGGTGCCATTAGGAAAAGAAAATTTGGCGCTTGTCTTCCAGCTCTTATAATCTGAGAAGACAAGATACATGCCTTAGGAAAAACTGGAAGGTTATTCCAGGGTGCGGAACCTAGTTCCTAAAGAAATTTCCAGTAACCCAGAGAGGATGACCTGGGGGTGGTCATCTGAGTTGAAGAGGAGCCAATGACTTCCACAGTCTTCCAAACTCCACATTTTCCTGGAAGGTGCTCCCTCACTGTCATACAAATCTGACTCAAGGGAGGGGCCAGCCTGGGGGCTTCTGGTTCAGCCCCTGACACTCAAGAGTTTTCAGCTGTCGAGCAGTGCCAGAGCCTCTTCCCTGTGGCATGGGATGAAAGAAGGTCACGGAAGGGCCCGGATCCCAGGATGTCTGAGGAGAGCCTTTGAGGGCTGCCTGAGGGTTCTTCTGTCCCGGACTTCGAGGCTAAAGCCTGTGCTCACTGCACAACTGGCCTGATGGCCAGAGAGCTGCCCAGACCACCTACAGGGGATTTTTGTGGGATGCCAAGAAATTTCTCTGAAATACCTCATATAAATAGCCTGGGTCAGTAGCTGAAGTCATGGAATCACTCCTCTTGACTAAAGAAATGTCTGTTATTAATGTTGTTCATGGAAGGGCGAGGCATAGGTTTGGTGGATGTGCCGCTGGGGGAGTCAGGTGTACCCAGCAGTGGCACCAGGACAGCTGCTGGGCAGTCACTGTGAACACAGCGCATGGGCGCTGTGGCGTCTCCCAGCACTCCGCTCCAGCCTCTCTGTCAAGTATCAGAAATTTGCATGGAGATTAAAATGAGCGCTGATCAAATTCTTAAGAGAAAAAACTAGGAGGGATTGCTTGAATAGAGCACTATGGAGAGAGATTCAGGAAAAACCTCAGTAGGTTGAAGTAATAGGCTCAAACTGTGACATATTAGGGGTGAACTGAAGGTCCTACTTCAAGGTTCATGGGGGTGGGGGGTGGGAATCAGCCACAGAGCAAAAGCTGGGGAGAGTAACCGAAAAGTGTTGATATCCTCAGAGGCTGACTGACAGCTCAGTATAGGCCATAGGTTGATATGGCTGCTAAAAAGTGAACATAAATCAATGCATTGATAGAAGAGTTATTTTCCTAAAGTCTTTGCTCTTTGGACCAAGAAATGAGTGCAGGGGTCAGTTCTGGGCCCATCTCTTAATTGGGTCTCCCAGGGTAGGGACCAGCAGGATGGGGACAGGTCTGGAACCCACATCATATAAGGAAGTGAAGATATTGTGTCAAGAAGATTGCTGTGGGGGGAGGGACATGGCATGTCTCTCAAATGTTTGAAGTGCTGCCATAGGGACAATGCTTGTGATTTGTATTGGAGCCCAGAGTTAGGATGGATAAGGTAATGGGATGTGGATTTTAGCCCAGAGTAAAAACTCCGTCACACCGAGGGCTGGCCCTTTGCAGTGCACGGGGTTGCCCCATTCACTAGGTCACTGGAGCAGTTCAAACAGGAGTAGGATGGCTTCTGGCCAGGGCAGTCGCAGCCAGACTTCTGTGCTGGGAAGGAAACGGATTAAGGTGATCGCCAAGCCCTAAAACCCCTGTCACTCTGCTTTTATGAAAATGCACCCAGCCCATGCAGGGGGCGCCCACTGTGTTGGCAGTGTCTACCATTGTGTGAATTGGTGTCTGTCTGTCTGTCTCTCTCACACACACACATACACACACACACACACACAGAAGGGATGCCAGTAGTGTGTATGCTGTATGCTGGCCTCTCTCCCTGCTTCTTCTCTGGCTCCTTACGACCTTGGCCTTGAAAGCAAGCACAGACTTCTTACCCTCACTCTTCTATCAACACATCAGTGTGTGAGAGCCAAAGCCCTTTCTCGAATTCCCCTAGTTTGGGGCCTATACATTCAAAAGTGGCCAAGAGTGGGATGAGGTCAATGTGAAGGGTCAGTTAATGCTTTCTCTGTGTCTCAGGACCCCAGGTGCCCATGACTAGACTAGTCCAGCCTCACAGGTGTGGCCCTTCTCAGGAGCACACTGGAATTTCTGAAGCCAAGAGTGGAAGAAAACTGTGCATCAGTCTAGACCGTGTTCATCCTACTCAGGGATGCCAGAAGCATGAGTCACTAAGCCCTGGGGCCTGGCTGATGGAATTTCACTGAATGAACTCA